AGCGTGCGTTTAAGACGGGTAAGGTGGCTGTGCAGGCTGCGCACATTCTTGTTCCAGCCAGTTGCATGTCAACAGGTTGTGGGGTTCTGCCTAGCTATCTGGGTCTATGCTGGTGTAATTTTTTTTTGGGCTGTGGATTTTACAGCAGGGGGGCTGGTTGTTCATGCAAGTACCAGCCCAACCAAGAGGCTTGCATTGAACACTGATATCGGTGGGGACGCTCACCGACGTACCTGCATCAACTTTTAAGTTTCCGTCATTTACTCAGCAGTCGTGAGCGACCGTCGTCATCCTGTCGGATCGGTGAGATGTAAGTGTCCGGAGCGGACAGCAGGTGGCCTAGGCCGAACGTCCGATGATTTTTGTCTCATCTTTGGAATTCCAAGTTGGCTCATGCCTTTACGTGACCGCAGCGGTCAAAGCAGCCAGCCATTTCGGCAGGGCACAAGGTGACCACAGCGGTCAAAGCAAATTTAAGGTTCATTGGAACCTGTCGGGACCTTAGCGTGATGATTCCTCCTTCTCCGCTCCCCGCTTTGGTGTGTCCCTGGACGCTTGTTTCGTAGCTGGGAGCACCTCTCTCTCTCTCTCTCTCTCTCTCTCTCACTCTCTCTCCTTTTCTTGACGGGTGCGTCCTTGGACGCTTGAGTGGTAGCTGGGAACACCATCGTCTCATTCCTTTGCTTGTTTGGTGTGTCCTTGGACGCTGGGCTCGTGGCTGGGAGCACCTCTCTCACTCTCTCTCTCTCTCTCACTCTCACTCTCGCTCTCTCTCTCTCTCACTCTCTCTCTCCCCTCCCTCTTCCCGCGCCTCCCGCCGCTATGCAGCTCTCTCCTACCGGCCTCACCGCCTACACCATGCCACAAACAGGCCTACAACCTTTCCTTTCCCTTCCTTACGCCGGGGTCTACACCCTACCGGATAACAGCGTGCAGGGGGTGCCTGGGCCTTTCACGGTGCAGCTGGCAACCGCACCAACCATCCTTCCTCCAGTTTACGCCTCAGGTCACTTCTTTCCGTTTCTTGTTCTTCCTCTTCCTGCGCCTCCGCACACTTTTCCTTTCCCTTCCCTACGCCGGGGTTTACACCCTACTGGATAACCGCGTGCAGGGGTGCCTGGGCCTTTCACTGTGCAGCTGGCAACCGCACCAACCATCCTCACTGAAATCTCACCTCCTCCATCTTGAGTTGTCCGGAGCCTAGTTCAGAAGCACACCTGGCTTTGACCCGTCCGGAGCTTAATGTAAAAAGGTAGACCTACCGAGAACTTAGCAAATATGCCTCCCTTTGGAGAGGTGTGTGTGTAACCCTTGGAATCACACCTTTCGGATTGTTTTGCTTTGTTTTATTTTTGGCTTTGGATTTTACAGCAGGGGGGCTGGTTGTTCATGCAAGTACCAGCCCAACGAAGAGGCTTGCATTGAACACTGATATCGGTGGGGACGCTCACCGACGTACCTGCATCAACTTTTAAGTTTCCGTCATTTACTCAGCAGTTGTGAGCGACCGTCGTCATCCTGTCGGATCGGTTTCGCCTTGCGCTTTGGGCCACACTTCCTTTTGAAGACCCCCAGGCTCTTTAGGTTTTCCTGGGTCTTTCAAGATTTGGGTTTCTTAGGTTGGCGTGTGGCACCGCTGTCAAGTCAGTACGCATATCCATAAGTGTGTGTGATGCCAAGTGCAGTAGCAGATCAGAACATCTGGCTTTGGTTGGCTGACCGGGCATCCAGGGTTTTAGGAGTGATTGGTTGATTCTGAGTGGCCTAGAGTTGACGTTGATGGTGGCGCACGGTGTTCAAATGGTTTTTTTGAGATGGAATTTGAGTGTTGAGTGTGCTGCAGCTTTCGTTTTATTCTTTTTGGTTCTCCGGTTCAATAAAGCGTTGGACGTCATCGTGGTTGAAGGATTGTCCACAGGTTGGAAATTTAACTGCCCTACCAACAGCCCATCGCAGACCTGGGCCGGAATTCGTTTGTTAGTGTTCTCTTGTTTTGTCATGTTTTGTCCTAGTTCCAAATCTACTGCGTGTTGTTGTGGCTGCCAGACCGGACAGAAACAGCATTTATGCAGTATGGCCTTGGCCCATGGCCTTGCCTCCGCACAACGCGCGGAGACGAAAACTCATCATCAACACTTGTTGCAAGCGCCGCCAAATATCGCAACGTTATTTGGATTCTGGGTTCAAAGTCATTGACACTGGCCTGCAGAATTACTTAGTTGCATTGTCTTCGCAGATTGAGGCGTGCTACCTTCCCTGCCACACCTCTTATTTGGATGCAAAAGGCCATTGGGACATTTCTTGTTATGCAGAGTTGGCTGCAGAGTTGCCGGATTTGATGGCACCAGGGGCTGTTGAGCACCCGCCATTGTACGGTGTGATAGAGCCTCTTCTGGTACAGCTAATGGTGCATTTGAACGAGTGGTGGCACACGATCCATCCTGAGAAAAAACATTCTACGCTACATCGGGTGCAAACTTTTGTTACAAGGTATTCAGTGGAGCATGGCAAGACCCATTTGACCAGACATGTTGACGGACCCCAGGTTCATGCATCCATGATCTTGCAGCTTCATTGTCCGCAGGGGTTTGCTGGGGGAGGGGTGACAATATGGGATCGGCATTCTCGAAGCCATTTCCATCGGCTACGTGCAGGTTATTTGTGCATGCTGGATCATTGCATTTGGCATCAATCACACGAAGTGACACATGGGGAACGGTGGGTGCTAGTGATTTTTTGTCAAGAAGTTTCGATACAACATGCAAGTGGGACCAATCGTGGAGGAGTGGAGGAGTCTGCAGAGATGGCGTGCCTTACCGCAGTTTCTCTGGCAAGTCGAGCTGCTGAAGAGAACTACCAAGTTGATGAGGCCACAACAATTGCTTTGATGCAAATGCTTCGACATGGTGGTAAAGACGAGAGAGAAAGGGCTGCGTTCGCCCTGGGCTGTTTGGCAGCTAACTCCTCTCACAACCAAGCGTTGATGGTGAGCTGCGGCGTTGTGCATTTGCTAGCAGATGTGCTGAAATCCTTGACGCATGGCTGTGGAAGAAGCTCTGGTACAAATGAATGTGCATGGGTTGTTGCTGCCCTGGGCCGTTTAGCTTCCAAAAATGTAGGAAATAAGAGTTTGATTGCTAGCGAGGGTGTGATTCCACTAGCTGTTGAGCTCTTGAAGAGTGGCAATGGTTTAGAGAAGGAGGAAGCTGCTTCCACCCTGTGCAATTTGGCCGCCAACCACGAGGGAAACAAAGACATCATGATTTCGTTGGAGTCAGCGCCTGCCCTGCTGCAGCTTCTTCGCACTGGCTTTGCGAAGCAGCGAGTGTGGGCTGCGACTGTTTTGTCCAACCTGGCTTCCGGTAGTGCTCAGGCCTCAGGAAGTTTCCCAGGCACAGGCCTCTAAACTCTCTTCTCTTGAAGGGACGATATGTGGAAATAGAGAGGTCGAGTCTTCATGATAGCTTTCCATCCTGTAAATGTTGAGTCTCTCTCTGCCTCTTTCTCTCCTTGCTGACTCTTCATTTGTACTCTTGTCTTTTGGTTGTCTCTGAGGCACAGCGGCAGAGTGTCATTTATGCAGCTGGTGGCATCCAGGCTCTGGTCCAGATGCTTGCGGCCGAGACGGGCCAAGAGCGACAACGAGCATGTGAGCCTCAGCTGAATGTGTGATCATAGAGCACCAGATGCCAAACGACATGGAAGGGTTTTAAAGAGAATGGGAGGTGTGTCTCCACACAGCGTTCGGCCCGTCATACATCATGTAGAAGAGCATATTTCATGCTGCAAGGGTTCTGTTATATAAAGAGAATCGGATGGTTTTTCAGCAGGCGGCGCTCATGACCTTCACAGAAGCATATCGTGAAGCCATGCTGGAAGCTGGGGTGATGAAGCTTTTGGGCATAATGACGAAGGCCAATTGGTGGAGCAGAGCTGCACAGACTGTAAAGAGATGATTGATATGTTGTTGTGGTACATAAGGGTCCCCATATATAGGAGCGTGTTTCCAATATTGTTCAGTGAGGCACTTTTTAAGCTATTGTCGGGTCACTACCGGGCCATCTCACTGAAGCAGTAGATTCAGTATATAGATATGTTTTTCTGCCAAATTTGGTCCCTGAAGAGGCTGAAGATTCAAGAGAGAGAGACGAGGCAATGTCGCTGTGGAAGGAGTATGGAAAACGGGTCCGCTGGAGTGATTGCGGGTCGCCAGAGATGCTGGTAAGAAGTTTAAGCTACTCGTATATATATATATATATATGCGTGTGAGTTCACTGAATCTAATTGTCATAAGATCCAGCAAATTTTGTATTGGTCTGCCTCCATATTTGGTTTCTTTCTATTGGTCGTTGTTGCTTTTCAGTGGCCGCAGGGTTTTCAAGGAGATTGGGCTCCCACTGCAAAAGGAAGTCTTGCAGGCCAATGGCCTTTGCAAGTGTCAATTGTGCTTCGCAGTTTCTTCTTGCAGGACTTGGCGGAAGAGAGCTGATTGATCTGGAGATTTGCCGATCTGAGCTGCAAGAGGAGTCGATTGGCCAGCAGGATTTACCTAATCAAAGAGACATCAAAGTAGTCTCGCCCCCACACGTAGCCACAATAAAGCGACAATACAGCGACCTCAACTGCAGCAGGCTGTATAGAGTGTTCTGCAGTGTGCGTGAACGCAAGGAACGGCTTGAAGAGGGATTCTGTTGGAAAACGGATGTGTTTGCTTTATTCTGCAGCGCTAGGATATGTGCTAGGAAGGGGAAGGAAAGTTATACGGCTTTGTTTGTGTGGGAGCAAGTGTGATTTCTGTGCATCGTGGTGCACATTGTGGTCAGAATACCTTCATGGTCGTGTGCGCAAGAGGGGCCAGCAGGCACCCTCCACTCAAAAGAAGATGGACAATTTGGATTGTCAGCCAGCAGTGCAGAAAGGGCACTTGATCAGTACAGAAGCACCGTTATTAATATATAGCTGGGACAACAAGGATTGGTGTAGCAAAATCACCATGACTCATGACAGAAGCGCAGCTATGGCAATGTGTTGCCAAGGCGAGCCAGTACCTAATTATGGTGAAAGGGCAGTTTGCGCACGTATTGCGTTCGTCTGGTGGGCTGCAATGTTCGTTTTGGACTGTGTTGTTGGGAACTTTTCAGGTGAGTTTGATGACATTTTCTCAGCTGTAGTCAGGTGCCACTCAGCCTGTGCACTGGTCCTCGAGGGAGAGGCGAACTGTTATTCTTGGACTTAAGGCTCTGAGTGTAGCTGTGGTGAGGCAGGCTCAAAATCTGAGCAATCAAAGGTGACATATGTCAGGGCACCTCTGCAAGATGAAATTCATGCAATTTGCCGGGAATTTGACCGTCAAACTGCACCAACACCATGCTTGATGAACTCACAAGTTCGATGTCGTCATGTGTCAGGTGACCAGATTGCACGCATTGATTTTGGAGAGCTGGTGACTTTCACCTCCTTTCCCAAACGCAGTGCCCCTTGAACTTGTTTAGCGTGATGCTGGCGAATACCCGAGGCAGGGCAAGCTGTAGCTGTCAAAAAACTTTTGCCAGGAATAGATCAGGTTGAGACACAACTCCTTCCCAAGACAAATAACTCTGGAGAACCAATTTTGGGGGTCAAGGGCCGGGGGCTTTATACAAAAATGTAGAACAGTTCTATTCCGTTTTCTCTTGATTGAACTTCGTTGGAACAGTTGTTGCCGGACTAGCTTGTATTGAAAGAGAGGGCAGAGAATGACCAGAACAGGATAGGCGTCCGTGCGCAACTTTGATCGGTTGCTGAAGAGGATAGATTTGAGTCCATCTGAAGCATTGTTTCAATGAAACGGTTTTTTGTTTTTGTCAGACAGGTGCCTGCAGCCTAAGAAAATATGCCTGGAGAACTGAGGTTACTGCCTCCGACCTACTGGCCCATGGATACTTGCGATGCCAGGCTCTGAGGATGAGAGGTCAACAAAAAAATACATTGCTGGCAGCGTTACTGGCCCACCGCACGCCATTTGTTTGCATGTTGTGATCTGAGGCCGCAAAGTTGGGAAGGCCACTGTTGAGCAATCCCTTTTGATCTTTCCTGTGTGTGGCAGCGTTTGATGGCAAACAGATGTGCAGGATGGCCAAGAGAGCTCCCAGCAAGGTCCATGCCCTGAGCAGAGAGAGAGGGAAAGAGGGACACCGTGAAGGACTGAAAGGGTGTTTCCCTTTCAGCACACGAGAGCATATGATTAGCAGCAGCAGTGCCGGCCGTAGTCTTTGTAGTAGTACTGCAGCAGAAGCAGAAGCAGAAGCAGTCGCAGTGGCAGTGGTAGGAGCAGGAGCAGGAGTATAGGGGCAGCAGCACAAAAGGGGGCGGCGGCGCCGGCGGCGTCGGCGGCGTCGGCGGCATCGTCGTCGTCGTCGTAGTAGTATAGTAGTAGCAGTAGCAGTAGCAGTAGCAGTAGCAGTAGCAGTAGCAGTAGCAGCAGCAGTAGTAGTAGTAGTAGTCGTAGTAGTAGTAGTAGTAGTATAGTAGTAGTAGTAGTAGTAGCAGTAGTAGTAGTAGTAGTGGTGGTAGTAGTAGTAGTCGTAGTCTTAGTCGTAGTCGTAGTCGTAGTCGTCGTAGTAGTCCTCGTGGTAGTGGTGGTGGTGGTAGTGGCAGTGGTAGTTGTAGTAGTAGTCGTCGTCGACGACGACGTAGTAGTAGTGGTCCTCGTGGTAGTGGTGGTTGTAGTGGTAGTGGTAGTGGTAGTGGTAGTCGTAGTAGTCGTAGTAGTCGTAGTAGTCGTAGTAGT